AAAAGTACTTTTTTTTTTGCTTCCTTAAAGCTGATTTTGGCCTCATGATTGAACACTTCAACATCAATTCAAAGTTTCAAGCGTTAGCAATCACATGGATAAGGAGCCAATAACATCTAAAGTCCAAACATATATATCCCATACTCTGACATCATCTTCTATTTTGCAATAAACTATATACATTTATATGTATAGAGAGAGAAAGAGAGAGATGATGCCTTGGTCGTCAAATTAAAGACGTAAAGAAAGGAGGAGGGGGCCTCGTGCATTGACTTAGGTGGCTTTCATTTATTTGAGAAGTCAATAAAACCCTAAAGGAAGCCTTTTGCTTTGCTTACAAGCTGGCAAAGGGAGAGGTCCTTACCAATTTAGCCTTTTATTTAGGGAGTCTTCTTCGATCTTTCTCTGTGTAATTAAGTGTTGGTTAGTCAGATATAACCACCATTTGTTGTCGATTAGTGTATGTCCACATTTCTCATTTATTATTTAATCTAGCTAGTTTGTCGACAGTGGGAGGCTAGATGCATTGCAAGGTAAGCTTGCTAAAAAGGACTGAGACAGACTATTGATGTATCTTGCTTTAAAATATCTTCTATTCAAAGAAAAAGGAAGTACAAAAGCTGATTCATACTTCACAAATGTAACCATATATATGGATGATTATTGATTATATGCAAGTAGGATAATTTATTATCTCAGAATTTAAAGTTATGGAATGATTATTGATTATTGAATGATTATTGATCATATTGATACGCACTGACACCCATTTTTGAATATTGGATTTATCAATATTTATAATCCTAAACATGATATATAACTCTTCAAAAAAAATTTTTTTCCAACCATTTTCTTACTTTTTTCATGTCTAACAAGATAATAATGAAATGAAAGTTCTCAGTGGTTGGTGTTCAGATAGACAATAGTGCTGCTGTGAATGACAAGATATGGGCAAATCTAAGAAGGTTATTCTCTCTTCCAAAATGCAGTCTGAATTGGCTGAAGTTCCCCCATAACCTACCACCCAACAAAGAGGATATTTCACCCCAAATTAGGGATGACAATTTTCCCCATCCCCAACGGGGACCTGACTTCCCCAACCTGATGGGGTCGGGGATGGGGATTGTTTTGGCAAGGCAGGGATGGGGATGGGGATTGAGTCCCTACCCTGCCCCGACCCCTGGTTATATATATTAAATGTTATTTATATTAAATATATATATATATATATATTAAAATATTATTTATAATTTAAAATTTTTATTTATTTGAAGTAAATTTATTTTTCAAAAAAAAATACTATTATCTAAAAAAATTTTGAAGATTTGGATCCCCACAGAAAACCCATCCCCATCGGGGATCATGAATATATGACAAATTTTATCTCCAGCGGTTATCAAAGACAAGGATGAGGGTTAATTTCAGAATTGGGGGTGGGAACGGCCCTGAACCCACCAGTACTTCAAGTTGAACTTTTTCATGCTCAGGAAGTGGTTGGGAAAATGTCTATGTCCATCAAGGATTGAGGACCTACTTAGTATCATAAAGTGAAAGCACTCCTACTAAATAAGTCAGGGCAGGGTCACCTGGTACAAGACCTTGGAACCAAGTACAGACATGGGATATAGCTAGGCTAAATCCCATGGTTGTGGCCCCTCCCTAGTCCTCATAAGCAAGGGTCTCATATGTTGTCCTCCCAACATGTGCACGTCCATACATGAGCTGTATGTTTTTTCAAACCGTTTTCATTTGCCAAATCTCATCTTTTACGAGAAATAACCTTTAGAGTATGGTTTTTAAAACCGACCTGGTGACCGAACCGATCAGGGGTCCAATTACCGGGTAGAACAGTCTAATCGTTCAAACTGAATGCTCAGCCTGTTCTAACAAAAAAGTAAAAAAATAAAAAATGGCCAAAACTGTTCGAATGGTTAATCGCCCGGTTCAGTGGTTCACTGACCAAAATAAATGGATTTGGGGAGAAATATGGTTTTTGGGGAAATCGGAACCGGTTGACCGGTTCCCAGTTTTTCCAGTCCAACTGTCCAGTCCAGTCCAGTTTTGAAAACCATGCTTTAGAGAGTTCAATTGGTCATGTACTTATTCAGATTTCATTCTCACAAAATTGGTCCTCTCACACCCACCTCACAATGGAACTCTGAGTTGTTCCTCATAGAGTGCGTCTCATATCAACCTCACACCTTGTTGCAGCCATGCATTGAGAACATCTCCTCATAAATAATAACTTACAAATAAGAAGATATGCGGCTGCAACATGCTGTGAGGTGCACACTGTGAGAAGCAAATCCGAATTCCTTGCAGCGGTGCATTGGGAACATCTCCACATGTACATATGTGAGGACCAGTTTTATGAGGAGGGAATCCAAATTCGTTTAGGCTTAGTTTGAAAGGAGTACAAATGCAAATATCTAGAGTGCAAAACCTTGTATTTTGTATTATTTTATATGTATTTACACTGTACATATTTGTATTTGTACTCTTTCCAAACCGAGCCTTAAGATGAGACAACATGGTTTAGAAAAGCTCGATGAACAGAAACAGAAAAGGAAATTTGTGTGAAATATAAGAAAATTAACAAATCTTGTCAAGGGTGAAGAAAATTAACAATGTTATTATTAGTTATATGAATTTGGTATGTTTTTCTTTGAATTAAAAAAATAATTTAAGGTGTCTCAATAAATACGATTGTTTTTACAGAATTTAAAGTTGGTTTATTCGTTTAAAAGATTTATGCCATGTTCGCTTTTCGGTAAGTCACTTACCCTGGTAAGTGCACTTACCTGGGTAAGAGTTTCCCAAGAAAGGCTTACCTGGGTAAGTGCAATTACCCAAGTTCTCTTATTTCTCATGTAAATAAGGCAATGACTATTTTAGCCATAAAAATTCCATTATTAAAAGGGGAATTTTTGTCCCATCCAAGTATTGACAACTTTCCCCTAAATGGGAAAGTTAATTTACCCACCTAGGAGATGGGTATTAGCCTATCAGGAAAATAAACTTTCATGGTCCTCACGTAAATCTGAAAAATGAACACCGATTTCTTGGTCAATGAGAATCAAAATCTCATTGGCCAACTTTCCTACTCTCAAAATCCAAAAAAAGAATACCCCCTTAATGCAAAGAAAACCAGAACAACATAATAATAGCTAAAATATTTCAGTAGGAAAAGAGTTTTATTTTAATTTTATTTTTATTTTTATAGATAAAAATAAATGCAGCCCAAGTGATAGTTGGCATTTCAATCCTGAGAAATCTTTTCAAGAGTCCAAATCCTAAACCAAGGGTTGGCTACTTGGCTCCCAGTTGAAGTCATCGCCTAGTTACTAACACTTACAAAGGCTTTGATTGTTTTGGCATGGGAATTCAAAAGGTTGAACCTTGCAGCTACGTGGTCAAATCATGACGGCACAAAGTTTTTGGTATCCAAACGGCCATGTCAAGACAAATTTTAGGGTTTCCAACTTCCAACTTTTTAAAAGCTGCGTAGAAAGAAGGCAAAAGTAGATTTCATGAAAAATCTTCTCTCCATTCACCAATCACCTCTGACGGCAACTAGCTGGCCGGTGAATTGGCAAACCGGTTTGCTTTGGTTCGGTTTGAAAAAATTAGTCCCGAACTGAGATCGCCCCTAAATGTTACCTTCCCCTTAGTCCCGTAGCTCCTGATCAGAGGATAATATACGCAATTGTCTCATTTCTACTTAGGTCCGAGTGTCAGAAGAGTGCTGGTGAGTTCTTTGGCTAAATGTCGGGAGGAGGAAGACAATGAACAGTAACTTCGATCATCTCAAATTTAAAGGGACAATTTGGTAAAGAAAAAAGATTTTATTGTCTCACTCACTGTTTTTGTCATGGTTTTTAAAACCGACTTAGAGACTGAACCGGTCAGGCGTCCGGTTATCGGGTCGAACGATCGGCCTATTCTGACAAAAAAATAAAAGAAATTAAAAATAAAAAAGGTCAAAACCGTTCGAACAGTTAACCGTCCGGGTAAGCGGTTTGCTTATCAAAATCAACGGTTTTAGGCAAATTTTTTATTTTGGAGAAAACCAAAACCAGTCACCTGACCGGTTCTCGGTTTTTTTCGGTCCAGTTTTGAAAACCATAGTTTTAAAAAACATAACTGATTTTGTCAAATGACCAAATTTGGTCATTTATTTTGTAAAAAGTCCTTATTTGGGTTTCTAAAATTGAAATAGTTTTTTTTTTTTTTTCTTGATTTTGTTCAGCTTAAATTATGAACCCCCCTGAATTTTAGTGAAAACCCACTTAACCTACTTTTATGATGCAAGTTGATTGGTTGTATATTTTTCTGATATCATGTATTTCTGGCAACATGGTCGAACCTGCTTATTTAATATCATGTTCCTTGACTCATATAATATTTGCAGTAGAAAATTTAATTGTTTTTGTTTTAAAAACCAGCATTTTGTATTTTGAAACAAAATCAGCTTTTTTTCTTTTTCTTTTCAAAATCGAAATACAGTTCAAGAATATATTTTCTGATGTGGGAATTTCATCAACAAATATTTATGAAAAGAAAAAATTCATGTAATACAGCAGTCTTCTAAACAACCTCGAAAAGGGTTGCTTGAATCGATAAATTATACTGCCCCCATGTTAATAGCTAGGTATAAAAAAGTTCAACCGATCCTGAGCCGCTGGCCGGAATTTTTTCGGATCAGGTCACTGGTTTTTTCAACCAATGAATTCTCAGTCTTCGGTTTCAACCTAACTAGCTACCTATGGCTAGTTCTTCTGGATGTTCATGTTCTAGCTACTACACTGTAATAAAAGTCACCGAATGAAATACAGCTTCTCCTGTTACAGACAGAGATGAAGACTGAAGGACTTAAGTAAAACAGTCTTTTTTTTTTCTTCATTTATTTATTTCAGCCAATCCAATGAATTGAAAAACAAATTCAAACCAAGCAACAAGACTCGATCCAGTCTACTGTCTCAGCCGGAAAAATAGAAAAATTCAAGAAATATTTAGGGTTTTGTAGTTATCAACCTTCATATTTTATCGAGCCAAAGACCACAAATTTACAAAATTGAAAGCGATATCTGAATGCCAATCGTAGTTTTGATCAATTACCTAATATTTTATATATATATAAAATAAACAAATATTCGTCAAACGCAACGTATTCGTACACGTTTCTACGTATAACGTGCAGCTCTGTGTATGTACAGCAACATCCAAAATACCTAATAAATCCTAGCTAGGCACAATTTGACACAGTCCGCCGGCCGTAAAACTAGCTACCGGCGACGTCAAACCATTTAGATAACCATAAGTTGTGGATAGCCTAGAGGAGGATGGGGAGATAACGGAGATAGTAGAGGAACGTTGAAGATTCCATTGACGTCCGTGCTTTCCCAAACGGACGTCCAACTTGAAGGTGTTAATGGGCAAATGGTGGAAACGGCGGCCTTGGTGTTTTCAGGCTCCGGCGACCTCTCCCTTTTAATGGGTTTCATCTGTATTTGTTCTTTGACTTGGGTCACTTCTGTTTCGGTTTCTCGGCGTCTCTTCCGGGAAATGTTTGTCGTCGGCGGGTCAACTGCTTTGCCAGCCTCGAGAGGGAAGTTGAGGATCGCTTTGCACCCACGCATCTTGAAGGCAGCACGGTCGTAAGCTCTCGCAGCTTCAACGGCGGTGTCGAAGGTTCCAAGCCAGACCCTAGAGCCTCGGCGGTTGGGGTCACGGATTTCGGCCGCGAATTTCCCCCATGGGCGCTGCCTGACGCCTCTGTAGTGTTTCCTCTCCTCAGAATCTGTTTGCTTTTGGTTCGAAACCGTCACAACTGGTTGAGCAGGTTGGTTGAAACCGGACCATTCGAGTTTCTTTACAGGAGGAAGATCAATCTTCAACGAAGGTCGTCGTTGGTTGAAGCTGGAGTTGGAGTCGGAGCTGAGGCTTTTCGGTGTAGTCAAGTCGATAATTTGAGGTTTGGCTTCAAACTGAAAGAACTGATCAACTTGGTCATTCCCGTTCATCTTGAGATAATCAGAGATTTCAAGCTCTGGTTCTGAAACCAGTGGCTCAGACATGGAAGAGTGAAAAGAACTGGTAAAGGCTTCATTGCTAAACCCGGAAACCGGGCTGTCAGAGCTTGCAGTGTGGGAGTAGAAAGAATCAGACGTAGAGACCACAACACTGGGCTTCTCTCCGGAGGTAGCTAATCCGCTGCTTCTGGGGTTGAAATCACACAAGAAGGATTCAAGGGAGGCGAAATCCCCGAAGAGATGTTCTCGGATGAGGTCGAGAGCCGAAGCTTCATCTGGGGTCGCCATGAGAGAGTTAGCTGGAACCGAACGAAGCTGTCTTAATTAATTCTTCCAAGATTTGAAGGAGCGAAGACGAAGTGAAGACCAGAGAGGAGAAGAAGATTTGGAAATGGAAATGGAAAGGAGAGCTGAGAGTGGAATGAGGGGAGTGTAGGAGGAGGAAGGTTATATAAAGGTGAGGAAGAATTTGTCTGGGAATGACGACTCTTTCAGACGAGGTTCCAAGATACAGGAACGAAGCATCCGCTTCTCTTTCGCATGATTATACAGTTTTTTTTTTCCCTTTTCCAGAAAATGAAAAATTTAGCAATTATTTTATTTGTCAGGAGTGAGGATCAAAACAAGACCTAGTTCAAGGATACTTCCAAAAAGTATTTTTTTACCAAAGTGCACCTAATACTTGAATAAAATACAATTCCAACCTCCGTCCTGCTAATTAATTAGTGCGTATTAATTAAACGTGATTACATGATAATTAGTTATTTATTTATGACTTTGTGTCATTCTTTTATTACCATTTGTTTTGTCTGAGTCCAACTTAGATTTTAATCAGTCTATTTATTTTAAACAAATAATAATTTATTGCTGGTGCTGATTAGAATTCACGAGAAAGTTGGATAGCTAGCTGATATAATCATACAACATTTAATTAATCATCATCACCGTTTCCTTGATAAGGTCAAAATTGTGAAAAATGATAATTAATTAATAGCTTAAACAATTAAGTGTTCATGGTTTAATCAAAGTCAGAATGTGTCATATATTGGTAGATTGATCTAATTACCTAATCAAACAGAACTTAAAGGGCTGATCGATTTCAATTTGCGGAAGTCAACAAATAAAAGCAAAGTGAGCTTGGTCTAACTCTAAGAAGTGATGCACCCAGAAAGAAGACCATTCACTGTATTCACAACATGCCTGCCCCAAACGGACCTCTTCATTTTCTCCACCCCTTGAAATTGAATTTACAAGCAACCCAAGCATCCAACAGAATTTGAATTCATCATTTATCCAAAAAGATTATATTTGAAACTTCTTACTTCAATAATTCTTTCTGTTTGTTGCTTGATTGCTTCCTACAAAATGTATTTATCTATAGATATATAGCAACACAGTCTATGTCACCATGCCTCTCCTTACTCCAAACCCTCCTTTCTCTTTTTTTTTGTATTTTTTATTTTTTTAATTTCACATAATTACTCATTAAAACAATAAGAAAATAATATAGGCTTAACAATTTCTAACAATCATAAAGAAAGAGGGATTTGCTTTTCTAATATTTAGCCAAGTGACACCCCACTTCCCCCACTTTCTCCTAAATTGTCTCTAATACCTATTTATCTCCTAATTTATCCTCTCCCCCACTTTTTATCTACATCTGTCTAAAGAAAGTTTCAATTAAAAAATTTTAGAATTATTTAAATATTATAATCGAAATTATATACTAACCTTAAAATCTTTATTCACAACTCAAAATCAATTATAATAGATTTAATAAGATTCATATTATTAATAGTTCTATACTTTTACAAAATTTATCAAGAAATTATGTAGTAAGAATATAAATTATAATTCTAAAAATTAATCAATTTAAATGTTGTTAAAATAATAAAAATTTAATATTAAAAATAAAATATTATTTAAATATTTCAATAATTATATATCTTAAATAACAAAACATTAAAAATAGATAAACAATTATATAACAAAACATTTAATATTGCATAATAATTTTAAAATAAAAAAATGAAAAATTTTAAGTATTTTACAAATTATTTAAATATTTATATAACAAAATATTTAACATGGCTAATTTTTAAATAGTTAAAATAACGAAACTATGCAATAAATTTAAAAAAAAATCTTAAAAGTAGAAAAATAATTAGAACAGATTTCATTATATTCATATTAATAATAATTATTTAATTAGGAGTACTCAGTGATTGGTTCAGTTCAGTTGTAGGCTCTATTTTGCCAACCAAATTGACTTGGTTAGGTCAAGAGTTTATCACCTAAAATAGACCGACCATTAGTGAAAATCCATCAATTTGGGTTGTACCGGTTTGGGTCTATTTTCAGTTGAATTTGTTTGTTCAAAAACTTTAAACTTAAAAGTTAGGTTTAAATTTAATAAATTAAAAAAATAAATTTATGATATAAAATATTTTACACTAAGAAATATGAGAATTTTTCACTTTCTCGTATTAAAAAATTATATTTAAAATATAAAATATTAATATATATCTATTGTCAGGTCGGTTGGATTTGTTTACAAATGACCGAACCAAAACTGACTTAACTTGGCCGGGTTGGAAAATTGCTAAGCCAAAGCCGGTTGAAAATACTAGAAAATAGACCAACTTAGGCAGAATTCAGTCGAATTGTTTATTAAAAAGTTAAAATATAAAACAATTATATACTCTTATCTATTTCTATTGTTTAGCTTTCGCTTAACAAAGCTAGTGCATTTGCACGGGTCCCAGCTAATAGCCAAGCAACCTATCATGAGTAAACAAACTACTATTTTTTTTTTTAATTTCTTTTGATGGCTAGACAGTGGGGGTAGCCCATCTCCCAACCTAGGTGTAGACAGGATTTAATCCCAAGTCTTCACTACGATTAACAGGAGACCTGACCAACCAGCTGATTGGCATCTTGAAAAAGGAGAACAAGCCATTATTCTACACACAAAAATCAGATTTTAAATACACGGCTGCGAGGACTAAATGGGAATTTTATTAATACAGAACATTGTTGTACTACATGATTTTGCCTCCAACCCATCCGACTTCAGCCTGTTTGGTAAATAGACTAGCTAACAAGTTGCATATACTTTTTGGGTGGTGGGGGTCGGCACTATTAATTATTATTGCGAGTTGGAGCGTGCTGGGGTCCATTAATTGCTGTGAATTGATCCAGGCAAAACAAACAGACCAACGAACTTGGCTGGTGCCATGCACCTACCACCCTCTGACATCTCACGAGTCACGTCTATCCCTCGCTCAAATCCAATTATCCAATCCCCCCAAATCAGCGTGGTCCCGTCTCTTATCATCTTCTCTGTCTCTCTGTAAGTCAGCATTATTCTGGATTTCACTGATCAAATTGCGACTTGTGAGGTTTTGCCTTTACTGTATCTTTTACGGTACGAAACCGACGAACCTAACGACTAAGCTTTTACACGTGGCTAGAGGATCGCATTCATAACAGATTAACTGCTGAACTGGATGAAAAAATGATAAGAGCAAGTCGTGTGAGCTCCATCGTAATATTGGCAAATCATTTGTTGGGTTGATTGCTAGTTTTTGGGTCCATAAATCCCTCTCTTTAAGTTATCTTTGGGTTTGAAGGAAAAAGTAGGGAAAGGAAGGAAAAGATACGAAAACCTATACAAAGTGGTTAGTTCAGATGGGAATTGCAATATGTTGGAATGGAATTCTCATTTCTAAAGAATAAAAGAGAATGAACATTAATTTTCTCAAATGAAAGAATGCCATTCTTAATGAAATTTGATTTCATCTAACCAAGTGGTTAGTCCAATTCTAATTCCAGACCCTTATTCCCACAAACCAAGTGGACCATTAATTATATATGTATAATTATTTTATCAACTAAAAAGCAAAATGTTGTTCAGTTTAACCACTTCAGCACTTATCAAATGGCTCCTTAAGGACTGTTTGATAGCGGCTGAAGATGCTGAAGTGAAAAGTTTATTGTTTTGTCTTTTATTTTAAGGAAGTTGCATTTTTCTTAATGGCCAAAACCAAAGTTGGACAGACCACTTTATCCTTGAAAACTTAATTATTATTAAATTATTTTAACAACAAAAGGATAAAGTAATAAGTTTTCAGTTCGTAAAAAGAAAGAGAGAGGGAGAGAGAGAGAGAAAATTCTTTCAAATCAACAACTTCAGCTATTAACAAACAACCCCTTAGATTTATCATTTCCATATGTAATTGTTTGTGTTAGGGTAACAGGGTGAATGTGAGGCCCATTTACCATACCACGAAGAGCTAGTGGTTCTGTGAATTTGATCTTACACCTATTTTAGAAGGATGTTGGCTGACCATCTCAACTAATGGATCATGGGCTTGGACGAGTTTTATTTAATATTCCCAATCCTGCCTTCACCCTCTACCAAATTCATGAATTCGGATTTTACCCTTGCATCTATGAATTGAAAATATCTCCCGATGAATAAAAACATGTTTCCAATGTACAACTGCAAAAGGCTGAGAATACAATTTTGTGAGGACCAAATTGGATCTCCAACTTCATACCTAAAAAAGTCAATTGGAATTGTTTGACATTATTATAAATTTATAATTGAAGGACCATAAATGGGTCGGTTGTTTTAAAAGAATAGATACAGTTTCATTTGCACTGCTATTAAAATAAAAGAATGAATAAACATTCCGATTTATTTCTTTTTTCGCTTGGACGTGAGCAATTGTTTTTGTATTAAAAAACAAAAGCAATCATATTGTCCAATACTCCATTAGTTTTTTACTTGACTAATATGCACTTTCATACTTTTTTACCACTGCAAACAAACAAACAAACACTGCCTTAATTATAAGGTTGTGTTTGGTTTGAAAGAAAAGGTAGGGAAAGGAAGGGAAAAGTAGAAAAACCTATATAAGGTTTGCAAAGGTTGTCCTGCCGTTCCCTTTCTTTTCCTACTTTTTCCTTCAATCCAAACACAGCATAAAAGAAAGAAATATATATATATATATATCAGGGTACTTATGTATATTAACTTTTTACTAGCTCATAAAACTGGTAGCTCCTTATTTCTAAGGGTCCATTTGTTATGTCTTTTTGGGAAGATCTTCTGGTAGTTCTGCCAGCCAAACAATGTATTGAGCTTTTTGCAAAAAGATCTGAACAGTCCGAAGCATGTTTGACAGATGCACATCTTTCCATGCGAGAATAAAACCCGAAAGATGCTAAAAGCTTCATTTAGAGCTTCCTGAAATCAGCCCAAAATGGGTTTTTCCTATCTTTTTAGTGTTCCAACTTTTGAAGGCTAAATCTTTTGTGCATCAAACGAAAATAGACCAAAAATCAGTCTGTACAACTTATAAACAGCCAAAAGAAGAATGCCCGCCAAACGAACCCTAATTATAATGCTCTAACTTCTAAACTTACAAATTATTTCAACTTCGCTTGTCAATAAATCAAGTCAGAGCTATATCACTATATAAATGTCAGGATAGACTCGGCCTTGA